CGCGTGTGGGCGGGCGCGCCCACGGGCGCCCCCGCCAGTCCAACAGAGCAAGGGGCGCGGTGCCCAGCGGGGAGCAGCAGGGAGGGCACACTGAACCTCGCGAGTGGGTGTGGGGAGTAATGCACAGAACTGAGCATGCAAAGGGGGCGCGCAAGGTGTCTGGGGAGGCATAGGATTCGCGCGGGCATGGTGCCCAGAGCCGGTGCCCAGCTCTAGGCTCGCCCCCTTCCTGCTGGAAACTACTTCCTGCTACTAGGACTAGGGCACAGGAGCTGCTGGGGTAGTTCAAGGCCATGGCTTTGCTCTGAGCCCGACGGCGACACTGCTGGCTTTAGGCCACACCGGGCCCCTAAAAGGGGGAATGGGACGGCTGGGCTCCAGGGCCTGGTTACTGGTTAGAATGCCAAGGAGGCCGCAGCGTCTTCCAGATCGCTTCATTGGCGCGCCCAAGCGTTTTCCAAACAGAGGCCAGCCTGGGCCTCAGGCTCTCAGAGACACATGTGAACACAGGGTCCCTAGACTTGGATTCCCTCCTCCTGTCCAGACACGCTCTGGATCACAGCCACTTGGACCTGCCTGGTTCTGGAGGTACATGATAGCCCATTGACGACCAGGACCAGGGAGAACAAGGCCTCCAGGGCCCATCCCACAGTCTCTGTGCCTGTTTCCCTCCTCCCCCTCCCCACTGGCCTTGGCATTCTAACCAGTGTCCTTTGACGTCATATCTCGCCATTTCTGTCAACCAATTGAAACTTGCCCGTTGTAATAAAAAATATAATTTTTTATGCCATTGGTAAATTCAAAAGTTCCTGTGTGTCCCGCTTCCCAGGAAACTTCATTCCACGTTGTACTGGACTGCCACGAGGGAGGTCCTGGACACACTGGGTAAAGCTAGCCTGAGTTGGCCAGCTCTGCCAGGGCCTTTAACTACCAGTGATTTGATTTATAAGTTCTGTAGACCACCATGACCCTGGCCTAGGCTAGGGTCATGTGTGCTAGGGCCACAACATATTAGTGCAGGCAACCCCATAAGATACAGTTTAGGGGAAAGGAAAAAATCCAGGACATGTCCTGTTCTAATCAACTTTCATTTTCTACGACGGCCAGTAACTGAAGATAGACAACCACAAACAGTGAGTTTCACTCTTCCTGGGGAAACAGCATTGTGGCCCCAGCTCCCAGGGCCAGAATGGCAGAGGCCCTACTGCTTTATACCAGTGTGGCTATATGGAGTTCCAGACATAGGGCAGGTGAAACCTATCTTTTCTGGCACTGTGTAGTCCTTTATAATTCTTTACTATCAAAGTTCCCAGCCTTGATCAGGGAGTGTGGGTCAGGGTGACCCTATGCTGGGCAGTCCCCTAAAGCCACATAGGTCCCCAGGAAGCCCCTCCTACTGCACCCATAGTAGGACAAGAAGGACAGCCTCAACCATGAGGTATCCCAGCACCTCTTCTTGCTGTATGGTTCAGAAAACACTAAAGACACTTTGTGGTCTAGCAAGTTTCAAGGCACAAGAAGGACAGAAACTCTAGGACTGTGCTGGCTACGGAGATCCTGGCATTCTACACACCAGGCTCTTCTAAATGCCGAATCTGTTTTCCAAAATAATGAGCAAGTCGGGGACGACCAAACAGGGATTTTGAACACAAATATCTGGTGCTTATTTTCACATAGAACTGCTCTCAAGTGCAAATTCTAAAATGGCTGCGTACCTTTGAGATATGCTCATGAAAGAAAAAAAAAACTGCATCCAACCACAACACTATAATCTATGTCTAATCATGCTCCTAAACACTATAAATATTATAAGTAATGTGATATATGTTTTGTGATTAAATGGGTGGATTAAAACATTGAATTTTTAAAAAGCCACAAAGAGAAAGAGATTATCTTCCATTATGCCACTTACAAGTTTTGTCCCACTGGCACAAATACAGATTTGACAAGTGTATCATTACGGAGCACGACGATTAAATGCCAGGATATTAGCTTTGTAATTTTCACCTGAAATCATTGTGTAATCACGCTGGGTTGCTAACCTTCTTTTTATTAGCTGACTTTTTTCCTTACCCTCACATTGTAATAAATTAATTTAATGTCTTCTCCCCCTTCCCAATTTTTATTTGGTAGCATAAAAAAATTGGGTGAGTCAGAGGTTTATTCAAGAGCACATACTTTTTAAAATTCTCCTTGTAGTTGGCAAGGATTTATATGTAATTTGGTTGCAAATTCAGAAATCAAATTCTGCCTAATTTAGAGGAAATTATGGCTTTTAGGTAATTCTATTGGGCATTATTCAGTTTGGCTAGCTTCATTTTTGTGTTATTGTTGTTTTTGTTATGTGTTTTGTTTTTATTTTTATCTACTTGCTATCAAATTATATTATTCAAAGTAAAAAACTAAACTATGCTCAAATGATCAAAAAGGGAACCTGAAAAATTTTAAACTGTTGATAAGCATTTGCTAGACAAGTTTGTGGTGAACCCGAGGCTGTCCCTCTGGGCCACAGCCATGCCTGGGGTCAGCTGTTTGAAAATAAGTCCTAGGAAGCCTGTTCCTGGACCAGGATGTTTATAACATTGACCTTATATAGTTATTTTTTCCTGATTTCTCCCAAGATCTGCTTGATGGGAATTCAGCCAGCAACTTCCTGCCATGCCCTTTCTTGAGCCCTGGCTTTCTCTGCTCAGTCCCTGGCCCACACTCCAGCCTCAGAAAGCCGTAGGGCTCCACTTTCGATTCGCTTCTTTCCACAAAGACATGTTTAATGGTGTTAAATTTTCAGTATCCAGGGCATTATGAGGACTTAGTAAACAGATGCACTTAATCTAGTTAAAGCAAGATGAGTGTGAGGGGGAAATCAGATTTTCAGTCAGGTTCTGATCGTTCAACTCGCATGTCCAAGAATAATGGTGTTTAGAAAGCCGGCCCCAGAACCCTGGCAGTGCGAGTCTGCAGCCCCTCCTGGGTAAGATGCCACTTCAATCATTGCTGACAATGTGCCCTTCAGAGGAGCTGTGAGCCAGCTTTGAGTATTCTGTGAAAAGGCAAACCGGGCTTAGGATTTCTTTCTTTCTTTCTTTCTTTTTTCTTTCCTCTTTGTCTTGAAGTAGAGTGCAGGTTTGAGAGCCCATTTTTACTATGCCTGTGTCATACGAACTTGTGTTTCTATCTTGGGAAGGCGACCTTCTTACTCGATTATTTATGCCCAAAACCTATCAGCACCCATGTCCCTTGAATATATATTGTATATCTAGATATGCATATATAGATATGTGTATATATTGATTATGAAGGAAATCGAGGAGGGAAAGAAGCCCACTGATGCTTATACAGATAAAACAGTGAAAGAAAATTCCGAGCTGTTACACCAAATGCAAGCAAGCAACCATAGAAAGGATTCTTTCCTTCCAGACATAGTAAAGCCATTTTCAGAATCTTTTGCTTTGGTTCCCTCCGTTTTATGTCAAACTTGGCATTTGTTTGTTACCAACAGTAATGAAATGCTGGCTGTAGCATGAGCCTGTTTGAGGACAAAAGCAGTTGCAGAACACTGCAGGACAACCACCACCACCTCCTCCAAGGCAGCATGCTGATCCCTCACTATATCCTCTTTCCATCCCTCTCTATTTTTAATATAAAGACCACACTGAAGTGTGTCAGCAGCTGACGGTGATGAGGTGGGCTCTCCACTCCCATAACTGGTAGGTGCTTAACTCTATATCCATGCAATCAATTGTGCTTAGAGAGCCTC